CAAGCTGTTGAGTAAGATCTGTATATATAACCCATCTTGATCATTTCTAGGGAGGCTTGGAGCTACCAGGAAAACAGTCTGCTTATCCTCACCCCTTTTTTTTATTTGGTCTCTTTCCATGTCGGAATCTCATGCAACAGGAGAACTATTGGGATGCTGTGGGATTTTTTTTTTAATACAGAGTATTCTTGTATTATCAGCCTCAAAAGGCCTGAAAAAATGGAGTATTTTTCCCTCTCCTCCCTTTCCTGTCCTATGGTTTTCATTTCAGCTTTAGCCAGTCACAGAGGGGCCTACATATATCGTGCTTGGACACAAATGGATCGAGATAAGTGTATCATCAATTTAATGGTAAACAAAGATTTAGGAAGTCTTGGTTTCTGATCCCAGTGGTGACTTGGAGACCTTGAGCAGGGCCAGTGTTTTGAAAAGTAATGATGATTTGGAGTGCTTCAGTTTTTGGGTGCACAACGCATGATAAGTTGGGCCTTAATTTCAGAGGTGCTGAACTTAAGGCTAAGGCCTGGTCTACACAGGGGCTACGTCTACACCGGCGCGTTCTCATGCAAAAACTCTTTTGCGGAAGAGTTTTTCTGCAAAAACTCTTCCAGAAGAGAGCGTCTACACTGGCATGTGCTTTTGCGCAAGAGGTGTGCTTTTGTGTAAGAGCATCCATGCCAGTGTAGACGCTCTCTTGCGCAAGAAAGCTCCGATGGCCATTTTAACCATAGGAATTTCTTGCGCAAGAAATTCATGTTGCCGGTCTACGCTGGCATCTTCTGGAAGAACTTTTGCACAAGAGGGCTTATTCCCGAGCGGCAGCAGCAGAGTTCTCGAGCAAGAAGCCCTGATTTTATACATTAGAACGTCAGTTTACTTGTGCAAGAACATGCGGCCAGTGTAGACAGGCAGCAAGTTTTTGCGCAAGAGCGGCTGCTTTTGTGCGAGATTGTGCCAGTGTAGACACAGCTAGGAGTTTAGGTCAAATTTAGCTGCATAAGGTAGATTTTTTTTTTTAAACAATGAGTCCCCACAACCAAGCCTGTTCCATTGATTTTAAGGGCTGCTGAAGTCGATTTCAGTATTCCTGCTTCTTCACGAGGAGTAACGCAAAATTCGACCTTGCATGGTTGAATGTATGGTAGTGTACATCCAGCATTGCAAAAGTCAAAATTCTTGGTCTCTGGGAAGCATGCAACAGTGCCCCACTGTGACTGCTCTGGCCTGAATTTGCAACTCTACTGCTCTCCATGTGGATAGGAGAAGCCACGGGAAAGTTTGAATTTCATTTTCTCTGTGGTCCGTGTGGCGAGCACACCTCAGAGCAGGCAGCACACCTGAGCAGCACATGTGGCCATGATTTCCATGAGTTGAAGTTGCATGAGCTCCAAATCCCAGGGGCGTAGTCAGGCACCAGCGTGCAGTGTGAAGGAGATCTTGGAGCTCATCGCGGAGTGGGGAGAAGAACCTATTCTCTCAGCACTCCAAATCAGCAAAAGAAGCACTGATAGCCATGTAAAGATGGCAAAGTGCATGGTGGAGAAAGGATACCTCTGGTACACCCAGCAGTGCCGTGTTAAAATAAAGGAGGCAAACAGACGGTTTGGTACATCGCTGCGATCATGCTGCTTCTATGACCAGTGTCATGTGATTCTGGGGGGAGACTCGACCAGCTTCCCAAGCCAGACTATGGAATCCTCCCATGGCACTCAAGGCATCAGCGTGGAGGACAGCGCGGTGGTAGTAGAAGGGGAGGAGGAGGAGGCGAATGGCCAGCCAGCAAGCGGCGAGAACCAAGAATGTTTCATAACCTTGGAGACAATCCCCTCCTCCCAGCATGTCTCACAGTCGGGCACTGATCCCAGGGACGGCACTTCTGGCGAGTTCACATATTTTTTTTTTTTTTTGCTGCAAGAGGGTTAAGGCAGTTGGGTGTAACGAGTGGCGTACTCTGTGCCTACACAGCGTGGCGGGCCTGGAACAGCTTGTTAATGTGTCTGGAGATGAAGCGGGACTGCTCCCTGCACAGCTCCATGGAATTCTTTGATCCTTCTCACAAGGTTTCTGGGGAGGCCAGCCTTATTCCATCTTCGATAATAGGCCATCTTCACACATCATGCCAGCAGTAAATGGTCTGGCGTCATTGGAGCACAAAGCGTTGCAACATAAGGGCTAGGTTTCTGGCACCATCTCCCTTTCACTCTGTGTGATTCAGGGAAGACTGATATCTCTCATGGGAACTTGGATGAAGGAGGGGAAGTTATCAGCTGCTGCCTCTGTAGCTAGCATGGCTTCAGCCTCTGACACCTTTTCTCTCCTTCCTGCAGGCTCCTGCAAGTCAGGAAAGTAGCACTATCCCGGGAAGTGCAGTGTGCTGTGTGAGTTGCTGCCTTGCCCTTCTGGCATAACAGGACTTCTTTCTTCTTCTCACTTCGAGGATTGTGTCCTGGCAGGTCTCTTACCATGCCTGCTTCCAAACCACGAGAGTCCAGACATTCCCTTGAAAACTCTGTTGTGTGCCTGCTGTACAGTGACCACTTTAAAGCATAAGTATGGCCTAGCACAGAATACATCTCCACTGTCTTTAGCAAGACCTTTTCTGTATGTTAACAGATTTGATTTTAGGCTCCATAATGGATCTCCTGTAATGTGTGCCCTTGTAAATTTTCATTGCAGCGGGAACTGCAGGGAGCTTGCTGTGTACAGTATTCCCCTGGCTCCAGCAGCTTTCCGGCTCACTCACAGCTGCAGGCAAAAACAGACAATGGAAGACCTGTTTAGAAAGAAAATGGAGTGGAGGAATATGCTTCTGGAGGAGATGCAAGAGGAGCAGCAGGAAAGGACAGTGGAGGGGCAGGACAGTATAGTGAAATGGCAGGAGAGGGGAGCATCAGGGAACTGCAAGTGAAGCACCAGGAGAATGTCTTTTCATCTGTGATGGAGCACATGGCGGCGTGCCTAGAGAGGATCCCTTCCCACCTCCCGCAGAACAACTTTCCCTCCTTGTAGCCTCTACCCTCAGGGACCCCAGGACATGGGGGGAAACTCAAGGGCAGTCTCACACGCAACCTACAGGGTGTCATGAGGCAACAAGCTGTCATCACATTTCTAAGTGCCCCACACAGCTTTGGGTCCCATCATGGACTTCTTTTCTTTCCTTGCTGTCTTCCCTAAATAAAAATGCATGATCTCTGAACAACAGTCTTTTAATTGCTTGTACTGCAAGGGCGGGGAATGTTGCATTTACTGAGGTCCAACCTAGTCACTAGACTCCTAAACCTTCCCTTTAAATGCCCCAAAGCATCCTCTACCACCATTCTGCACTTGCTCAGCCTGTAGCTGAACTGCTCCTTTTTGCAGTCTAGGCTGCCCATGTACAGCATCATGAGCCATGGGAGCAAGGGCTAGGCCGGGTCATCAAGGGTCACTATTGGCATTTCCAGGGCTTGACGAAGGGCAGTGAAAACCGCTCACCAGCCCCATACTGCGCATGCGCAAGAGCCGCATTGTGCATGCGCGCACCGCGAATGAACAGGGTGCATGGCTGAAATCTGCTCGCCACGGGCAAGTAGATTGTATTGTTTGTCGAGGCCTGAGCATTTCCACCTCTCCAATTCTGATTTTCCAGTCTGGGAAGAAAGTTCCAGTGTGCCTCTTTCAGAAGATGCCGGAGTTCCTAAAGACGTGCACGTTATTCACCTTTCCCAGCCATCCCTCGTTGATGTCAGTGAAACGGCCCTTGCGATCCATCAGTGCCATCAAAAAGTACACCTTTACAACTCCTTGGCAAAGTGGCCAGGGGCCACGGTGGGGATGTGGGTTCCATCTGTTACCCCACCCATAGCTACGGCACCCCATTGCAGCAAAGCCCTCCACTGTGAAATAACTCCCTATAAAAAAGCTTCTCTCCTGCAGCTCACTTTGTTTGTCTCACTCCCCTGGTTTAGTTTCATGACGGGCTGGGCAGTTTCCAAATAATAAAAGTTAATGCTCCTGTTTGCCTGTCTTTATCCCTTCCTATTTGCTCCCTTCTCTCTCACACTTCTTCACACCTGCCAAACTACCCTTATTGCAGCTGACATTTATACCCAGGACACGAGTAATACGAGCATAGTAGAGGCCAGAGGTTGCCCCTCAGTGTTTTAGGATAGAAGTGGGACGGAGCGAGGCGGTTTTATTTCCTCCAGAGGCAGGAGAACACACCTGTTCCAGTAAAAGACAAATACTGGTCAGCATATTGCTTTTGCAATGCCCCACAATTTGAACGATGAAAATCTGAGCTCTGTCTGAAACAAAAAACAGGACTGAGTAGCACTTTAAAGACTAACAAGATGGTTTAATAGGTGATGAGCTTTAAACCATCTTGTTAGTCTTTAAAGTGCTACACCGTCCTGTTTTTTGTTTCAGCTGCACCAGACTAACATGGCTACATTTCTACCACTGAGCTCTGTCTGGTCTGTTTTCCTCCCTAAGAAGTCTCATTGAAGACATTGGTCTCTCTGTTTTAAAAGGAGCCTGTACATACAGTCCTAGAAGCAGATGGACCAAATGGCTATTTATTAAGCCCTTTCTCTCCTGAGCTGCAGAGTTGGCTCAAAGGGTCTGTTAGGGTTGCAGCTTGCTGGTGGCATTACAACCCTTTGATCAGGTACAGTGTTCTGGGTATTCTGGGGTGCTCTACACTGGGAGGGTTAAAATCATAAAAAGAATTTCTTCATTCACTGCTCTGGCTCCGTCACCCGCCCACACTCCACGAGCTGTTTCCTCTCTTTCGGTATCACGTTCAAGCTCCCCATCCTCCCCTTCAGCATTCTCCACAGCCCTGCTACTGCTTAGGTTCTGGTTTCCTCCTCCAACCAGGCTTCCCATCCTAAACTCCTCCCAGCCCTCCAGTTCCCCTGCTTTCTAGTTCATGTTACCCATATGCTTGCAGAAGCATTGCTCTCTGCCTTTACAGCCAGCCTCTGGCTCTGCCTTCCCTCCTGAATCCTCCCTCTGGTGAGAAAACCAGCAGCTGCTGCTCTCCATTGTTACTGCCTAAAGACTATACACTGTCACTCCTCTCCCTGGGCTTGTGCAGGTCTGTGGTGTTATACACACAGATCGTAATGTGAGATTGCCACTCTATTACAACTCTCCCTTCGTTTGATCTTCCCTTGGAAAGTTTTTCATTTGCCTCGTTAAAACGTTCCGTCCTTTTGAATCCTCTTGAGAAAGAGATGCTGTGTCTTTCTCTGGCTGTGTTTTAACCCTCTTTGCGTCTCTTGTATCTTTTTACCCCATGTCGTTAATTCAACATAAGGAATTCTCCTGCAAACTTCTGGGTTTTGTCCCAGAACTTCAGGGCAATTTCCACCTTTTTCATTTCCCAGGCTACTTAGTAGTGATTCAAAATCTCCCTGCTTCGCGCAGTAAAAGGCAGAGGCCAATAGCAGGCTGAAGAGCACGGCCATGTTTGAGAGAGGTCGTGTATCAAACAAAACATCTGCAGTGCAAAGAGCTGGTCCAGTGAGCTAGGACTAGCAGTTTACGGCCCGGTGGGAAACTACCAAGTGGAGTTCAAGCTCTAAGCAAGCCGAGTCAAGTACACTACAGCTGCAAGTGGCTCATCTCCTGGAGCTGTGATGGATTAAGTAAGGGAGGCTCGTTGCAGGGACATCCCTCCAAGACCTATTGCTACAGTTTCAGGAGAGTCCTCTTAATTTTTGGATGCTTCTGTCTATGTACTTGAAACCCCAAGGACCTGGATCTGAGTGCCTGTACCTCCCTGGAGCTGGAGTACTGTGTGCACACTGATGGATATACCCAGCCTAGTAATAACAGCTGTGAAAGCAGGGTCTTCCAAGCTGGCCTGGATATGTATTCAAGCAGCTAGCCCTTGCAGGTATTGTTCGAGCTAGCTAGGGCAGAACTAGCTTGGGGTCTATCTTTGCATGCTGCGGTCACACCTCTCATTGTGGTGGAGACATGTTCCAACTCTGAAAATGAGGCTCCGCGTGTGTAAAGATGGGCCACATAAAGCCCATCGTGATTGCTTTTGGCTGAAGGAGCTGCATCGATTGGCTCTATGGGAAACCGAGTACAGGATCTGGGGTTTTTATTAAAGGGAAGTTTGCTGTATTAGGGACCTAGCAAGCAAAGAGGAAATTGAGTGTAGAGTATTTGTCCATCTTAGACATATTTATAGTACCAATTGCTGTAATATCTAGGTATCTTTTAGTGACTAAGAAGGGCACTGCCTACCATGGTGTTTACTTGTAAGGGGATGAGGAGAAAGACCTTTCCACCCTAACTCCTCCTTATCCCTGTCCCCTCTGTTTCTGGAGGGTGGAAAGGATCGTTATTGCCTATCCAGAGTTCAGTGCCCGTTCAGCTGGGAGCAACGTATTAAACAAGCTCCTGCTGTTGTATCAGAGCAATAAAAGCTGGGACCCACCCAGATACCTGCACTCCTTGCGTATGCACAGTGCACAGCTGGCAGCTGGAACTCTTGTTCTGCGGTGACTGGGACAGATTGTAGGAACCCAGTGAGCCTACAGGTGCTCAGAAGAAGGGCAATAACTTGGCTTCTTGAGAGACAGCGGATGGAGCTTGCATGCCCTGACTGAGTCTGGGGAGTTTTCTGTTATGCTTTAGTCCAGGTTACTTTGTGTTAGTTTCTGGCAGTGTTGTCTTCAAGTCGTCATTGTCAAGTCCAAGTCGAGTCTCAAGTCACTACAGTTCAAGTCTCAAGTCGAGTCTCAAGTCTTAATTTAAAACATGTCAAGTCACTTTTGGACAAGCCACCAATATCGGCATTTTCAGACAATTTTTTCACCAAGCCGATTTAACAAAATTAGCAAGTCTCAAGTCGAGTCTCAAGTCACAAACAATGAACCCAAGTCAAGTCTCAAGTTGAGTCACCTAGGTGACTTAAGTCGGACTCGAGTTCAAGTCGTGGGACTCAAGTCAACAACTCTGGTTTCTGGCACTAAAGATTGAGTGAGAGCCTCAGCTGGTGTAAATCAATACAGCTCTGTAATTGAAATGGAATGACTCCTGTGGCTAATCTGTGTTATCTGTTGAGGAAGAACACTGGCACCTGTGCTATGTTGCAGATGTGTCAGCCTGCCACACCCATGTCTTGAGTTCAAATGACTGTGGAACTTAATCTCTCAGTTTGCTTAGAAGGGTTCAGTGTTTTCCATGCAAGACTGAAAACGTAACTCTGTTCTGATGCCACCTCTCCCTCTTCTTGCGTGTCCAGTTATCAGCATCCCTACTTGCTCTTTCCTTCTGCTCCCTCAGGCACTTCATTCTTTCAGGGGGGAATTGAAAGCAAGGATACTTGTTTGCCCCTTGGCAGATGAGGCTGATATTTGGGATGCTGAGCAGCCACCATCCCAGATTAAGTCAGGGGGTGAAGTGGGGATCAGCAGCTCTGAAAATCGGGCCCTAAGTGGCAAATGCCCAAGGAAGTGAGCTGAAGTCTGGTAGAAATAGTCATAGTAGAGAGGTTAGCGTCCTTCCTCCCTGCTGCCCAGTGTGATGCGTGGCAGGGTCAGCACATCACTCTATGATGCTCACATTCCAGGGATCTGGAAGCATGAGATAAATTTGCCATTGGGGTTTTCCACAGGTACCTGTACGGTAGGGATGGCTGAGGGGCCACATGGAGGAGTGTCCAGTGGTTAGGATGCCAGCCTTGGACTTGGGTTCAAATCTTGGCAACATCGTAGGCTTCCTATAAGTCCTTAGGCAAGTCACTTAGCCTCCCTGTGCCTCAGTTTCCCATCTGCAAAGTGGGAATCCAGTGTTACAAATCAGAGTGACTTCATTTGTATGCCCCCTCTATGGTCCACATCCAGGCACTCACACTTAGGCTTCAGGCTCTGTATCAACACCCTTCTTGGACACAGGCCTATGCCTCTCTACCCAGGGATTTTCCAGGCTGCATGGTCCCCTGCCTACTTGTGAATTCCCTAACTAGTCAGAGTGCCTCAGCAGGCCAGCTTTGCCTTCTTGGCAGCTATAAACAGCATTGCTGCCCACGGGTATAAGTTACCATGCAGCCTTTGCTAAGTAAACATGTTGACAGAAACATTGTACAGAAAACATGCCAAGCAGTGAAAGAACCAGAATAAGCCCAGCAGAGATCGCCTCAACAAGGGCTCTGCCAGGTGATCAGTCCTTCAGCCCCTTCCAGTGATCACAAATTCGTAAGAGCTGTTCGCTCAGAGCAAGCACCCCCAGGAATAGGTGAAGTCCTGCCCACCTATCCCAGGAAGGAGTAAGGCTTGCCTTGAGCAGAAGGTGCTGTCTGTTTGCTGGATCCAAACGCAGTCCCGGAGTCAGTTTAATCATAGGCTGTTGTTCCAAAAATCCTTTCTTTGTTCCTTGTTCTTTAGAAAATCCGGTTTGAGCCAGTGTAGGTGAGCCTCTCCAGGTGGTGGGACCTTTGGGAAGTGTTACAACCTGAGTCAATTTGCATAATCCCTGCCTCCCCAAACACATACTGTTGTTAGTTTCTCGAGGCATAACTTAGGTGACTTCATGGGCACTCCAGCCTTGGAGCACCCATGGTGGGGGGGGGGGGGGAATTAGCAGGTGCTCAGCACCCACTGGTGCCAGGCTCCCCTCTCTGGTTCCCTCCTCCTAGCACTTCCTGCTTCTTTCTAGCTCCGCTGATCTACTCTTTACCCCTCCTTCCCTTCCAGCACCTCCTGCTGCCGCAAATCCAGTGTTCCGTGGCATTCAGAGCCCCCAGGAGGGGAGGGAAGGAGTGAGAATGTGGGTGCTTGTGGACAGAGATGGAAAGAGGCGGGGTAGGGGCAGTGGGTTGTGGAAGGGGATGTAGTGGGCGCAGGGCCTGGGACTGAATGCGGGGAGGGTCAAGCATCCTGTGGCTAGAGCAGAAGTCGGTGCCTGTGCCTGGAGGGGTGGTGGTCCAGTACACTCTCACAGTGATTCATAAATGTACTTCAATAAGGTTTTCCCAGGAAGTTACCATGTCTGTCACACACGGCACTTCCCTACCTCACAAAATGCTTGGGAGGACTCATACGTTAGAGTGTGAGGTTCTAGGAGGCTATGATAGGGTACGTCTACACTGTAACACTATTCTGAAATAACTTAGTCCACGTCTACACAGCAGGCAGTTATTTCGAAATAGTGTCGAAATACTGTCAAGTTGGAGGACTTCTTACTCCGACTGCTGTAACCCTCATTGGATGAGGAATGAAGGAAGTCGGAGGAGGAGAGCTCTGTTTCAAAATAAGTGCTGTGTAGACACTCCCTATTTCAAAATAAGCTATTTCGGAATAAGATACACAATTGACATAGTTCAATTTGCATAGCTTATTTCAAGTTAGGCTCTGCAGTGTAGATGTACCCATAATGAGGACTAGGTAAACCATAGACAGACACTTGTGCTGTGTCGGAGGCTTCTGGTAGCACTGTTGTGATATCTCCAAAATTACTAGAGTTGCCAGGTGTCCGGTATTGACCTGGACAGTCTGCTATTTTCGCCTCCTGTCTGGTAAAAAAAATCAGAAAATACCAGACACCTACAATGTCTGGTATTTTCTGATTTTTTTTTCCCTGCCAGGAGGCGAAAATACCAGATACCTGGCAACCCTACCACACTCAGGGTGTGTCTAGACTACATGCCTCCTTCGACGGAGGCATGTAGATTAGCCAGATCGGCAGAGGGAAATGAAGCCGCGATTAAAATAATCGCGGC